GCTAACCAAACTTAAATTAACTAGGCTTCCTTCCTTATCCCCTAAATTATGGTTAATTGAGATTTCACTAGAACCACAGAAGAGGTTTTTCCCTTGTCCACTGTCAGTCACGTTCACACAACCTGGAATATAATAGAAGAGAAGTAAAAAATGTCCTGTTATGAGACCCCTACCTAATATGTTAAGAATAAGAGAATTTCTATCAGAAAAGCAAGTTAGCAAATAATTGAAATTATAATAAAACTCAAGGTGAAGTCAACCTAAAATTTTAAGGCAAGCCCTATAAAATGGGAAGGAAGTAGGTAGGAAAATATGGTATAGAGGAAAGAGCACTGCATATGAAGTTGTAGGCACTGGGTTCAAGTTCTGCTACTACTTGTATAATGTTGGGCAAGTCACTTCAACTCTTCGACCTCAGTTTCCTTATCTGTAAAATGAGGGATTTGGACTAGACGGTCTCTAAGGAACATTTTTCTCTACGGAAGGTCATTGTATAAATTGAAGCAAAAGAGTTGGTTGAATTTTTAAAGGAGGGATTCTTGACTTTAATGAAAGGGGTTCTTAACTTTTTGTGTCCTGGACCCTGTTGACAATGTGGTGAAGCCTATGGGCCCCTTTTCAGAATATATATTTTTTTAATAATGGAAGGACATGCTAAATTTCTGTTAGACATTAGAGAGAATAAAAATGTGATTTTTCCTTATCCAAGTTCATGGACCCCCTGCAATCTAGCCATGTACCTTTTAGGGGTATAAAACTCCATGTTTTATAGGGTTAAAGGCTTAAAGTTTCCTGCAGTGACAAAATCTTGTACGGGGAGAGTGGAATGATTTCACATTGGATATTGGTAATAAAAGGACAGAGTAAAATCGCTGTAGCTCCTGCAAAGGTTAAGTTGTTAGATAATTCAGATTTAGAATGAGGGGAAAAAAACACTGTAGGAAATGGAAAATTAAACAAAGATTCTCTCTCTCTCTCTCTCTCTCTCTCTCTCCTCTCTCCTCTCCCTCCCCACCTCTCCTTTCCTCTCCCCTTTCCTCTTTCCCTCTCTACTTTGGAAGTTAATTAAATAAACAGATTTCACTGTACAGTAGTTAACACTGTATTTTTAAAAAGACAAATGACCTGTTTTATGTACTAATTCCCCAGAGGTTGATCCCTAAGCATAAAATACAATCTTAATTATGTTTCCATTATTATCTATTGAATAAAGACATTTTTTGACTTTGCTTGACTGTGAAAACTGAGTGGTACTGCATATTTAAACTTCAGCCACATTTCATTTGTTTTAGGGACTAAATGAATAGCTCATATAATAAATTCATATAATTTACGTAAAGAAAAGAGAGGTAATGTGGTGGAAAGGTCAGAGATCCGGCCTAGGAGTCAAGAAGAGCTGGTTTCAAGTCCTACCTCTAACATAAACTAGCTGTGTGAGTGTGGGTAAACCCCTTAACATCTCTTAACCCTAGGCAGTTCTATAAAACTATATTATAGACTAGTTGCTCATCTGCATTAATGGAGGGAGTTTGCACACTGGAAGGTGACTTCACTGATACAATAAGTGTTCTGATCATTCTCTTCCCCACCCCCAATAAATAAATAAGTAAAAAGAAATGTATACACATAAACAGGTATGTTTCTATTGGCTGATAATACTTTACCTTCTCCATTCTCTAACACTAGACTTTAATATATGTCAGAACAAGACTTTTTCAATTCAATTCATATTCATCTACTTCCATGAATAACATCATGACAGTGTTAAAAGACATCATAATGTTATAGTTTTGGAGCAGGAAGGGAACTCTGAGAGAGTACAACTCTCTCATTGTATAGCTGAGAAAACAGAGGCCCTGTGTGGTTAATTAGGGTGAGAAGCAAAGAAGGCCTAAGGTTTCCACCAGTGGAAATAGCACTTTATTCTTCCCACCTCCCTCATGAGATCATGGATCCAAGTAAGTATACTTACTGAACGTGCCAGTTTCTTCATATGAAAGTGCACTTAATTTCCTACATTTGCTCTGACATTTCCTGGATTTTCCCTTTATCCAGATGGCATCCCACAACTCTGGAACTCTCAGACCAGTCAGCATGGATTTGGTCAATATATTTCAAACACCTAAATTTTCCATAGCTAAATTACTTTGGGAAATGCTGGTTGAGTTCCATTTATGAAGTCACTTAAAAAAAATGTTACCTATTACATTCAAATTCATCTCTTTTTCTCTCTTGATCTTTATAACATTTTCTGGATCACATCATAATCCTTCCGTACTCTTTAAGTCTTACACTGACCTCTAGCCAAAGTAATATGATTCTCACTTGAAATTTCAATGAATTTTTAAAAGACCTTATGTAAGAAAAGCAATACTTGCCTTTTTCCTCCTGATGGGTACCCATAGGCAACTTATGGGTACCAATAAGCAACCCATAGGGCTGCTTAAAACTCTGCCACCAAGTCCTATAGACAAGCTAGTTCAATTCCAAGATGTCAAGGAGAAAGACCATTGTGAGAATTTTCTAAAGATCAACTTCAGCTTTTTATAAACTGGAGGGCCAATGATTATTTAAGTTACTTGTGTACACCAAAGTCCTCAGGCAGAAAAGATTCTGTTGTCAATGGAAAAAGGCTAGTCTAAAAGTGGCACTACATTTGCTTCCACTTATAGGCAACTGTCTTATTGTGAAAGACACAACCTTGGATTGAATCTGTACAGCAGATGTTCATTCAATTAAAACGTGACCAAATGACAAGGGATTGAGGTTAAGGAAAACCTTATCACTGAATCATTCTTTCCATAGTTAACAATTTACTATCCCTTTTCCTAAAAAATGGTCTTCCATTAGCATGACCCAGCTCTTCATTCTGAAACCTCATTACAGGCCTGGAATTCGTGCATTGGAATTACCCTCCTGTCCCTGCTGCCTCTCCCTCTGATTGGTTGTCTCCTTCCCAAACTTCCATTTAAGAAGGAAGCCCCAGGACAGCCATGTCTCATTCCTCTCCAGGATGAACTCAAGATACCCTCTACCATGCTCCCATGTCAGGTACATTTACTCTCCCTCCTACTCCCACTTTTCAGCTTCCTTTTATATATTGTTTTCTCCCATTAGAACGTACGCTCCTTGAAGGCAGCGACTCTCTTTTTGCTGGTACTTGTACTAAGCTCAATGCTTGCTTGGCACATAGTAAGCACTTAATAAATGCTAGTTGACTGACTGAATAATGCCAAATAGAAATGGGTGAGAAAAATGCTCTGGAAGAGGATCCAAAAATTACAATCTCAAATTCAAAATTCTGATGACAACTGATTTCAACAATTAAACATGTACTGTGCGCCAGGTGCAGTGAACCATAGAGGTGAGAAAGCTGACTCCAGAGCCAAGATAAACTGGATTCAAACTCTACCTTTAATACCTACTGACTGTATGATCTGGGCAAGTCACTTAACCTATCAGGGCCCCAAGTCACTCTCTAAGATCATGCTTTTTACTTGGTATCAGTGAACTTAAAAAGAAAACAAAACATTTTGATAACTATATTTCAAAATAATTTTGGTACAATAATGATTTCCTTTGTAATCCTATGTATTTTATTTTATATATTTAAAAACATTATTCTGTTCCCCAATTGCTAAATGGTCAAAGGATATGATCAGGCAGTTTTCAGATGAAGACATCAAAGCCATTTATAGTCATATGAAGAAGTACTCTAAATCACTTTAGATTAGAAGAATTCAAATTAAAACAACTCTGAGGTACCACCTCCCCAGTCGGACTGGCTTATATAACAAAAAAGGAAAATGGTAAATGTTTGAGAGGATGTGGGAAAATTGGGACACTAATGCATTGTTGGTGGAATTGTGAGCTGATCCAACCATTCTGGAGAGCAATTTGGAACTATGCCCAAAGGGCAACCAAACCATGCATACCCTTTGATCTCGCAATGCCACTACTAGGTCTGTATCCCAAAGAGATCATAAAAAGGGAAAAGGACCCACATGTGCAAAAATATTTGTAGTAGCCCTTTTCATGGTGGCAAAATATTGGAAATTGAGGGGATACCTATCAATTGGGCAATGGCTGAACAAGTTGTGGTATATGAATGTAATGGAATACTATTGTGCAATAAGAAATGATGAGCAGGTGGATTCCAGAAAAACTTGGGAAGACTTACATGAACTGATGCAAAGTGAAATGAGTAGAACTAGGAAAACATTGTACACAGTATCAGCAACATTGTGTGATGATCAGTTATGAATGACTCAGCTCTTCTCAGCATACAAGTAAAGTACCCATGATGAAAATGTTGTCTACATCCAGAGAAAGAACTAATGGACTCTGACTGCAGATTGAAGCATACTTTTTTTCACTTGCTTTATTTTTTTATATTTTTTCCCTTTTGATTGTTTCTTTTTCACAACTGTGACTAATATGGAACTATGTTTTACATAATTGCACATGTATAACCTATATCAAAATGCCTACCATTTTTGGAAGAGAGGAGGGAAGGAGAAAAATCTGGAACTCAAAACCTTGTAAAAATGAATGTTAAAAATTGTCTTGACATACAATTGGGAAAAAATTAAATACTATTTAAAAAATAAAAACATTATTCAGAAAAGGGGTCTCTAGGCTTCTCCAGACTGCCAGTGGGGGTCAGACACAAAAAAAAGGTGAAGTCTGAACTAAGGCTATAGGTTGCAGTGCACTTGCTAATTGACATTAATATAGAATGGTTTCTCACTGAAGAGTCCTCATCTCTATCAATGAAATCACAGGTTTGGGCAAAAATAAAAGGGTAAAGTACTGGGGATACAAAGACAAAACACATGAAATAGTCTTTGCCCTCAAGAATCTTGTATGCAACAAAGCAGTGTGAATGTGTGTGTGTGTGTGTGTGTGTGTGTGTGTGTGTGTGTGTGTGTTTGCTGGTGGTCGTGGAAATGGACTCCAGGAAACCGTAATCTCCAAAAACTCAAGAGAAAAACACTCACCACAAATTAACCAGGAAAGGGTGTTCCAGACATTGCATGATCTGAAGTTCCTTGAAGACATTTCTTACTTCATTGCGCTCGACACACTTCTGTTTGTTCATGTACTTCATGGCGTACATCTTCTTGGTATCATTCTTCTGTACAATGCAGACCTGATAGAGCAAATCCGAGTGAGGAATTGATTAAGAGAAACAATATCATGTTGGAGGTAGAGAAGAGAAATATAAAACTCCTCCTTAGTAGTGCTGGCAGGTTTTCCTTGCCCAGCTCATAACTCTGAAAAGTTCCATTTGTTAAGACTTCCAATCAGATCTAAAGAAAAGAAATTTCAGGTCTCCTGAACAGTGTTAATTCAGCATTCGTATTTTCTCAAATTCCTTCCCATTTATTTAATCAGAAATTTTGGTGATTTTTTTTTTAGCAATCTTTGAAACTTTGTAATGTCATTAAAATCTAAACTTTGTCTGAAGTCCCTGCTTACTGAAAAGAGGTATAATGGTTGCTGTGAGCAATATTGTAAATTTCTGTATTCTTCACAACCCAAATGTTATTTCCTCCATGAAGTTTTCCCTGATCCCCTGGATAGTAATAACCTTCTCCCTCCTTGGAAAAAAACACTCTGTTTTGTCTCCTTTTAATGCATTCAGGGATAGGGATGAAGAATGGACCTGTGATTTCATCGATATAGGGAACTCCCAGAGGAGGGAATGACCTTTATCAATGGAGATCAACATCTTCTCTGCAATTTATAGTCTTAGAGCAGACCCGCACTACTAGGCAGTAGGTAGGGGCCAAAATTAAAGTAGGCTCAACTTCTTCCGGCTGTAGATAGGTTAGACTAGAGGCAGACTGCCAGTGGTCAGTTGCCGTGGGTCATGTGGCAAACAGAAGTGTGTGCAATGGCAACCCTACATTTTTTGAGGGCGGCCTGAAATCCTTTGGCAAGCCCCCCTAAGGCTATATGTTGTGCAGATCTATCTTAGAGAGTTGTCTAGATCATTGAGAGGCTAAGTGACTTGCCCAGTACATATAGTCAATATGTGTCTTGTGGGACTTGAGCTCAAGTCTTCCTGACATTGAGATTGGCTCTCTACATACTAAACTCTAGTAGCCTCTTTTAAACCTACTTAACCTTATTATAGTGTATTATAATTATCTCTGGGTCATTTTCTCTACTAGACTCTAATCTCTATGAGGACAGGAACTGTGTCCTTCTTGAACTTTGTACCTCTTCCAGGACCTAGCACAGTGCTCAGCCCACAGCAAATGCTTAATTGAAGTTTGTTGAGTTTTTATTGATTTTGAACAAAATCAGAAAGCCAGATGGGGTTTTTAAGCAGAGAGGAAAAATTTGGTGAAGCCAGACAATGCATGTAAATACCTCTGGCCTACTTTTAAAGGCTGTTTTAACACAGTTTTCCCCTTGGGTCATTTTCCCACATTGTATATAATAAGGTTATCAGGTCTTCAATTTAATATATTCCCAAAGGAGTTCAAGGTGAGTGCCTTTAAAAAAAATTGGCAGATGTGGAAAGATGGTATAGGAATTAGAAGAGGGAAGGATGAGATAGAGGAATTAGTCATTTCATTTTCGATATAAGTGCCCAGGGTACACTATGGCACAAAATGCATTCTAGAATAACTCAAATGAAAGACTGGAAAAAATACCTGCTAAGTACCATGATCCTTAATCAGCAGCCAAAATTCTCTTGATTTTTTGTCGTCACCCACTTTCACTGAGGACTTCATTTCTAACATTCTCTACTGGTTAGTATTTCATTTTTGTAAGGATTACATATAAAAATGTGCGCAAAAAAGAAATATGTGTGCATATCACTGCTGTTAGATTTAGGATTACACATACACAGACACACACACACACACACACACACACACACACACACACACACACACACACACGACTTCTGCTAAAGTACCAAAGAATTTTGTCTGAATGCATTTCCCCCTGAACCATAAAAGTCCTGAAAGTTACCTTGTCATATCAACTATTGCTTGAGCTCCTGACAATAAAACCTGGTTTTTAATTTTTTTTCTTTTTCTTTAGCATAAGGGAGATTCTGTTCTTTTCCTATGTCTACTATATTGCCTCTCTTGCATATCACAACTGCTCGATAAATATTTGTTGAAATGAATTAAGAAAGATTTTATACACTGGAGCCCAATAAGTAGTCTTGATTAATTCCATATGCTTTAGTGATAAGTATTTGTTTAATATCTAGGTATAAGAGACATTCCTTAAATCATAGTCAAAATCTCATATATTACAAGGATGTTCAATTCAATTTGATTTAGCAAGCATTTATTGTAAGTTTACCATGTACATGGGTCTGTACCAGCCACTGAGGATGCAAAGACAAAAAAATATAGTCCTTAACCTCAAGGAGCTTGTGTGTGTTTGTGTGGTTCGTCCTTCCTTCTTGAGGAGGACCATGACATCAGAGAGATGATGACATGACTTGCAACTCTGATTTGAGTGAGGGAGGGCTGTGCAGGGTTACCAGCCTCATTTTCACCTCCAGGGCCATCTGGGTCCAGTGGCCAGATAGTCATCAGGATGACTGGAGACGGCTAAGGATGCAGTGGGAGACCTTGGCTCTTTTAAACTAAGTTTTTTCAGATTCTCATTTTGAGTGAGGCAATGCCCTCAGTGAATAGGCCTCTTTAAGAATTGAGTCAAGGGATGGCCCCTTTAATAATAAAAAAAAAAAATCAAACTGGGAAGGGAAGACCCTCAGGGTTACTGGCCAAAAGTGAAATAGTTACTATTTACATTCACTCAGTGCGAGGGCCCAAAAAATAACCATTAAGTGCTGTTTGGGCGGGGCCAAACCATGAGATCAAGAGTGAATTGGGTTTAAGGCTTGGTCTTTGGGAAAGAAATCTACCCAATAAACTCCTAGTTAACTAGGTAGCTTTCAGCCATCAAAATTTACTGGGAGGGAGGGGAGGATTTTCTGGAGGATCTGAACTCTTTTAAGGAGTCATGTGGTCTGGTTTTAGTGAAGTGCTACATGGGATTGCAGAGAGTGTCTTTTTAATGCTGTGCAGGTGAGTGAGGTTTGTAGCCCTAAATGGTGGGAGCTAAGGGAAGACCTTGAATTTTGGCGGCAGGACCTTTTTTTGAGTAGTTATGGCTGAGGTTGGCTTGTGGTAAGAGTTTTATGATATGTCTCCTCTAAGAGGGAAGGATGCCCAGAGGGTAGAGTGCATTGGGAGGGAGGGGGCACTGGGACCGCTCTGGATTGGTGTCTTCTATTTTTTACTTAAGGAAAGTGCTTTGAAGGAAATTAGACATTCTGCAAGGTAGAAGTGAAGAGGTAGTCTGGCAATCTAGACTTGATATACCTATACATATACACATACATATACAAAATCATAAAATCAGGAGTCTAGTGCATAGGAAACCACTAGTCTCTAGAGTGTTTTCTCTTATGATCTTATCAGTAAATAGTCTGGCTATCTTTGCTGCTTTTGTTTGCTAGCAAAGGGTCAATTCAGTCTTGATTTTTACCTTTCCAAAACTGCCTTTTCCAATGGCACGCAAAATTTCGAAGTGATCAAAGTTGACTGTAAGAAAAACAAAAATGACAACATGGTAAGTGTTTGTTGACTAACCACCTGAGATTTTTTGTGTTACTATATAGTGATTTTTAGAAAAACATGGATAGACTTACATGAAATAACGAACAGCAAAATGAGCAGAACCAAGAGAATGTTGTATACAGCAACAACAATATTGTTTTAAGAACAACTTTGAATGACCAACTCATTTTGACTATTATGAATACCCAAATTAACTACAAAGGACCTATGAAGGAAGATGCTATCTGCATCCAGAAAAAGAATTGATAAATAGAAGTATGTATAGAATGATTTTGCATATATATTTATATTTGTATTTAATGGTAGCCATATCTAGGGTATAGGGGGAAGGAAAAAAAGGGCAAAAAAAGAAATTTACATGATAATTTTATTATATATTTAAAAGGAATACCAAGTTGTACATAATGGATTTGCAGTTTCACATGTAATCTTTTTTAAAAAAATTTTACTGTTATGGAAATGCTTGTTTTACTTCATAAATTAAAAAATCAAATAAATAAAAATTATAAAAAGAGATAAAAGTAAGCAAAGGTTTTTAGACTCAGTTTTCTCTTTATGTGAGGTGTACTGGGAAGCTAGGTGCAAAATACATTTCATCAATGCTTCCTATAATGCCAAACAACATTTCAGTCAGTCAGTCAACATTTATTAAGCACCTACTATTTGCCAGTCACTGTAGTAAGCACTGGGGATACAAGAAAAGCAAAAAGCAATCCTTGCCTTTGAGGAGCTCATGATGTAATGGGGGGAAACAACACACATGGACAACTTCTCTTTTATAAATAGGAACTTTACAATCTTCTGCTACGTCTGTACTTGTTCCTTACAGAGTTATCTGATGTTGTCGCTTGAATGAATTTGTTTTTTCCTAAGTAAGGGGTATATCATCCTTAAGGAAGCAGCACAGAAATGGATGCCTTGTCTTTAAGTATTATTATTTATCTGAAGGCATGTGCATAGTACATGTGACTGGCAGAGAAGGTTTGCTGCAGCACTGGCCCTGAAGTCAGGAGGACATGAGTTCAAATGTGGCCTCAGACCAAACAGTTGACACTTACTAGCTGTGTGATCCTGGGCAAGTCACTCAACCCCAATTGTCTAAAAATTAAAAAAAAATAATTAAAAAGTATAAGGATGGATGAACTCAGTGCTGTTGTGAAATCCACAAAATATTCCAAGACCTGGAAGAAGACCTCTAGTCTATTGAGTAATTATTCAGTGGAGGATTTACAGAAAGACATTGACAAGAAGCATACAGGATGAGGACTTACAGAGGGTCAGTGATCTACACAGAAGGAGGTGATTTTTACCAGCTCTTTTCCATTCAATTGTCATCTCTATTCAGGAGACTCCTAAATCTATACTATCTAGCCCTGCCCTCCCTCTTGAGATTCAATCCTGCATCACCTTCTAGACATTCTATTCTATTCAATTCGACAAGCATTCATTACATTTATTAAATTCCTACTATATACCAAGTATTGTGCTAAGCACCAGAACACAAAGACAAAAACAAAAGTCTCTGTCCTCATAGAGCTTATATTCTGTTGAGGGAAACAGCCCTGATAAATTGAGAGAAACAACATTGATACATATCATAAAAATGTACAATGAAAAATAAATATTATCTATCTGTTATATACAAAATAATTTCTGAGCTTGTAACAAGGACATATCTCCCACCAATGGGGAGTTCAGGAAAAGCTCCATGTATAAGGTGATTCTTGAGTTGAGTCTTGAAGGAAAGCAGGGATTCTGTGAGGCAGAGGGAGGAGAGAGTGCATTTCAGTCTTGGAGACAGCCAGAGCAAAGGCATGGAGTACTGTGTATAGGAAACAGGCAAGGCAGCCCAGGTAGAACTAGACATCTAATGGGCATCTCAAACTCAGTGTGTCCAAAATGGAATTCATTATCTTCTCTTCTAAACACAGGACCCCCTCCAAACTTCCCTAGGACTGTTATGAGCATTACAGTTCTTCCAGCCACTTATATTTAACACCTTGATGTTATCCTGCACTTTTCTCTTTCTTTTACCCTTACATCATTCAGTTGTCAGGTCTTGTCAGTTCTGCCTCCACAACATCTGTTTGCATCCGTCTCCTTTTCTCCATTCTCGTCCACCATTTGGACCATTTCAAGATCCTACTAATTGGACTCTCAGATTCTAGTTTCTTCCCCTCCCTTCACTTCTTTCTCCAACTGTTGCCCAAATGGTCTTTCTAAAGCACAGGTGTGACCAGGTCACTCCCGTATTTAAGAATGTTCAGTGCCCCCCTTTGGATGCTAGGATAAAACACAAACTACTCTGTTTGGCATACAAAGCCCTCCACAATCATGCTCCATCCTGCCTCTCCAGGTTTATTTTCTATTCCTCTTTTTCACAGACTCTACATTCCAGTTAAACCAGCCTACTGGCCATCCTCTGGACTCAACATCCCATCTCCTCCCTCTATTCTTTGGCCTGAGTTGTTCCCCATGACAGGGAAGTATGCTTCCTCTTTAGAATTCTCAGCTGCCTTCAAAGCTTAACTCAAGTGGCATCTTTTATGGGATGTCTTTTTTTTTTTTCTTGAGGCAGTCAGGGTTAAGTGACTTACCCCGGGTCACATGGCTAATGTCTGAGGCTGGATTTGAACTCAGGTCTTCCTGACCCCAGGGCTGGTGCTCTATCTACTGTGCCACCTCGCTGCTCCATGGGACGTCTTTCTTGAGCCCTCTGGTTGCTATGAATCTTTGCTTTCTCACATTAATTTTTAAAAATCTGTTTATAAGTTGCATTCACCCAATACAACTGTAAGATTCTTGAGGGCAGGGATTATTTTCCATTCACAGCAACTAGCTCAGTCCCTTGCATATAATGGGAACATAGGTGTTCATTGGGTTACAAAATCAACAGTTTTTCTATATAACAACAATAAAATTTCAGAAGCAATGGTAGAAATGTAGATAATGCCCACACAATCTACCCTGGTGCAGGTCCTCATCATCTCACCTCTAGATGATTGCAGTAGCCCGCTCATTTGTTTCTTTGCTTCAAGTCTCTTCTCGTTCCAGTACACCCTCCCACTCAGTTCCCAAAGTAAGCTTCCTAAAGTTCAGGTCTGACCGTGTAATAAACTCTATTGTTTAGTCATTTCAGTCGTGTCCAATTCTTCACAACCCCAATAAACTCTAATGGCAAACTGTTGTTACCTCTAGAATCAAATATAAAATTCTCTGTTTGTCTCTTAAAATCTTTTACAATCTAACTTTTTCTATCTTTCCAAGCATTGCTTCCCTCTGACTGTTCTTCAGGGTCATTGGCCTTGTTGTTCTTCTTATACAACACTCCATATCTTTACTCTGTGCCTTTTCATTAGATGCCTCTGGATTACATTCCTGGGTTATATTCCTTCCTCACCACTGTCTCCTGGCTTTCTTCAAGATTCAGCTCAAATCCCACCTTCTGCAAAGGGCCTTTCTGGCCCTCCTCCCCTTCCATCTTTCCTCCTTTTCACATTCACACTGCATATACCTTTTATGTAGATAGTTGTTTGCATATTTTCTCCCCCATTAGAATGTGAGCTCCTTGAGGACAGGGAATTTGTTTCTGCTTTCTCTGCAGCCTCAGCTACATAGTATTTGCTTAGTTCTTGTTGGCTTCTCCCAAGAGCAAGTGCCAGCTATTAACAACCATATGAAATAATGCTCCAAATTATAATAAGAGCAATTCAAATCAGAACAACCTCAATGTTTACCTCCCACCCAACAATCTGGCAAAATGACAGGGGGTGGAAATATTTAATTTTGGAAAGGGTATGGAAAGATGGGCACAGCAGTGCATTGTTGGAGCTGTGATTAGGACAATGAAATTTGGAAATGATTTGGAATTATGCAAACAAAGTGGTGAAAATATCCATGCTTTTTGATCCAGAGATTCTACTACTAGCTGTAGATACCCCCAAGGAGGGCATTGACAAAAAAGAAAAGATCCATACACAATAAAGTGTTTCTAGCTATACTTTTTGTGGTAGCAAAGAACTGGAAACAAAGTAGGTGCCCATTGATTGTGGAAAGCAGCTAGGTGGTGTGGAGGGTAAAATGCTAGGCCTACAGTCATAAAGACTCATCTTCCTGAGTGCCAATCTGGCCTCAGACACTTACTAGCTATGTGACCCTGGGCAAGTCACTTGAACCCTGTTTTCCTCAGTTTCCTCATCTGTAAAATAAGCTGGAGAAGTAAATGGCAAACCGCTCTGGTATCTTTGCTAAGAAAAACCCAAATGAGGTCACAAAGGTCAGATATAACCAAACAACAACGACAAAAGATGAATGTTATGTAACACAGTATTACCTCGCTGTAAGAAACAATGATGTAAACAGAGAAGCATGGAAAGACTTACATGAACTGATGCAAAGAGAAACAGGAAAACATTTACAACATTTGCACAGATACATCTATGTAAATGTTAAGAATGACTACTACCAAACAGCCAAAATGAATGCTGTGAAATTATAAAGAACAAGTCTGACCCCAAAGAGAGATGTGAGAAGATACCTCTCCCTGTTCCTGTACAGAGAGGGACGGGAAAGTGAAAGTGTGAAAAGTGAGTGTGAAAGATTGCATATAACATTAGATTTTTAAATATATTCATTGATTTTTATGATTTTTAAAAAAATTCTGGGCAAAGGAGGGGGAGAGAAATGGGGGAAATCTAAATGATATAAAAATAAAAGATATCAATAGAAACCTATAAATTAAAAATATCAAATACTTAATAGATTGTTGAATTTTAGACTACCTATATGAATGAGATCACAGATTAATTAATGTATCACACCTAGTAAGAAGAATAACCTATTTGTGCAGGCCTTTAAATGGAAGTCAGCTTTCTTGTTATTTGTTATGCCTTTTCAATTCACTTTCACCACGGTCCAATACACCCACTTGAGGGGATGAGTGAATATCAGCTCCTTGGTAAATA